TTTTTCTCCCTTTGTTTTAGCTGTGACTGAATCAACAGGCCATTTAGAGTTTGTTGTGTATATACCTGATGGTGGTGACAGATTGCAGCTCAAGAATGTTCAGGGTCAATAAATCAGCTGGTGGAAGATATCCTTTCAACAACTGAAAATTTGTTAAAGAATCCTTATTTCCCACTTTTTAAATTTTTTGAAACCAATATTCACCTGAAAAGTTAAATACAGTGTTTCTATTGTTGTACTATTAATAACAGGTTTGCAGGGGCCACCATGAAGTTCTCACTGTGTAACTTTATGTGAAAATGAACAAAATGCATATTCCTGCTGTGGCGTTGACTCAGTCATACACAGCTGGACACCCTGGCGCTCCCACCAAGCTTTTAATGGAATGACTTTCAATTGGCATAGAAATTTTTATGGATTTTGAAACTGCAACTTTTTAAGATCTCACTGTACCCTGAATCATTCCATTTCTAGTCACAACACACAGTGGCAGATAGCTGAAAGTAGCAGAAACCTTTTCTGTTGGTTTTGCTGGAATGCAAAGATAAGACCCGATGTTCCAATCAGTTGAAATTCACAGAGTTCTCACATTTTGGAGTTGCAGTTCTTTAACAAACCTTAGTTTCACTTTAGTGCTGCACCATTCCCTGCATCAAACCTGTCGGCTGTAAGATGGGTCTCCTTGCTATAGGGATTATAACTAAAGGGGTTTGAAGCCCAGTCTTATCTGCGTTGAAAGCTAACCAGGAAGGACAGATGGACAGTCGTGCAAGTTTGAGCTCATCTTTAAATGCCTGTCCTTAAAGTGTGTGGCACAACTTGAACTTAAAACACTCGAGTTTTAAAATTAGTGATAAGTTTCTTGTGCCTCAGGCTAAGGCTGCTTAATATTTAAAGCTGGTACAGTAACCTTGGACGGATTATTGCTCTTGTTAACATACTTGTGTTGAAGTATGTTAACTTCAATACACATAATGTCATATGTGACATTATTTAAAAAAAAAATACTTTGAGGTCGAGCCCTCATAAAACCAATTGAATTACTGAAATACTTAAGATTAATTAAGGATGTTTAAGATTCAAAGGTATTTATATATTAGAAATGAATTGTCATCAATAATAGATTTTTAAAATATACATATTACTTTATTAAACATACTAAAATGCAATATCTCCCACTTTGTGCATTGGTTTAATAAAACTTTAATTGGTTTTTAATTTATCTGATTTTGTTTTACGTATGTGTGTTGTTTTTGCTGCACACAAGCGCGTAGCTGCAAAGCTGCTTGTAGAAATGATGTTGCAGGTGGGCTCACGTGACGTTGGTTCAGCTTGTCCTTCAGAGTCAGTCGTTGCATAACCGGCTTGGCTCATTGCTTCCCTCCCCTCGCTCTGCAGGGCGACAGCGTTCTGCTGCAGATTTAGGGCTGACTGCTTAGAAACTATTCTAGACGGCAGGTTGTGCAGACTTCCCCACAATGCACTGGGGGCAGAAGGTCTTCTGTTATTTTGAGTAGCTAAAAAGAAAGGGAAGTGTGATGCATATTAAAAAGCATCTTACTATGCCTCTAGTAAGGTTTTTAGTTCTGCTAATATTTCTTTTTATCATGAGCTGCATGCTCAATATGGCAAAGTGCAGATTTAGAGGGGCACTTTAAATGCACTTTCAGTTTCAGAAGCAATAAAGATCAAAGCAAGGGATGTTTCTACCTAATGAAAATGGACACTTTGGTCTTATTCTGGCTAATTAAATTCAAGCATGGGGGAGGAAAATAAGATCCACCGCAAAGTGCCAAAGGTGAAGCTTCAAAGGTCTTTTTTCTTTGTCTAATGCGTGATGCACTCAAAGTCAGTCCCAGTGCCAGAGGGGGGGTCGGGCTGGGTCCACCCTTTCAGGTATTTGGCCCCCCAGGACAGACTGCAACAGGTACATGTTACCCTTGTATCCGGTACGTGTCCTCTGCACTTTTTTAAAAGCAGTGTGTAATCTATTGTTGGCATGCCTTAATGCGTTTTTCCTAGCTAATTTTTAAACGCATCACAAGCGTACACACGTCAGTTTTACACCTGTGTGGGTTAGCAACGGGACACCTGTAGCACTATTGTGTGTACTAGAATCATGGTGGCTAACGATCCAGAGCCTGCAAAAAGAAAAACAATAAAACATTTGCACAATTTTTCCAAACAGACCGACTTTTACTTGAGTAAAAGCGTTGAAGTGCTGTTACTTTTACCTGAGTGAAAATTTTGGCTATTCTCACCTCTACCTATGCACCATCCCTTTCTGGTTATATAATCCTAGGAATAAACTAAATCCTCTTTAATTTGTGTGCTCACTATTGCTTTGTTAAAAGAAATCTTCATTGTCACAATAGAGTAAAGTCAGGGAGGAGACATTAGACCAGAGGCCAGCAGCAGGGACGATGATGCAGGGTCTTCTCAGGTAAGGAAGGATTACAACTTGCTGAGAAAAAGATATCTGTTGCAGGGAGAAACCAAATGGGTATCAGGACAGGATTTTTAGATATTTCAGAATTATTCTCATGTTCACACTCAAAAATAGTTTTTGTCTGTATAGCCAGCACAGACAGCATACTGCTTCTCTTACAGACTGTTAACTTTCTCACACATCATTGTCTGATTTAAAGAAATTGACTTCAATAGATTTCTGCAAAGTGTGCAGAAATGACGTTGTATAGTCTTTGCAGTATTGATGCTAATCTGAGGATCGTTACTCAGAATTTTCTAGTGGCTCGCACTCATTATTCATGTCAATGTTTACGTCAGTATTCTTTTGTATTAAACATATCTTTTGAAAGGTTACCTGAATAAAAAGCCTGTTTACTGCCCCCCCTGAAAATAAGCCATAGCTAAATTCCTTTGGAGCAAAGTCTGCTGAAAGATTGGTTTGATAGACAAACAAATTAATTTGTTGTAGTTTTCTGCTGTGACACATTTTCTAAAATAACACATTTCCTGAGGAAATCGTCGTTGGTTTCTGTCGTTGTGTAACTAACTTTCTCAAGGTTTTTTCCTCAGAGAAATGTGCAGACAGAAACCGTGAGACAGAACCCAAACATTATCCAGTTGACTAACCAGCACAAAACACTAACAATGTGTTAAGTTTATGCTGCAGTTGTATGCTTTTCTCCTTTTTCTCGTCTGAATTAGTCTATTGTGTAACTCGGTGGTCGCAGCTGTTTATCCTATGAGGTTATTTTCAGTGCGCAGTCACCAAGCAGCAGGAGTCGGGTCATGTTTTAAGTTTGGGCCAAAGCCGAATTGGAACGATGCTTCTTTCACTTGTAATACTTGGTTGGTTTAAAGTTTTACCAAACTCACATTTATCACATATATTTTGTTTTATTTTTATTGATTTTGGTGCTTGACCCAAAGAGACTGCTGTTTCTTTAAGGGTTCCACGGGACACTTTGATGTTTATTTTGCAGTAAACTGTGAGGGCTTTAAAGGCGGTGGGGGAGCATTAACTCAGCCGGGAAATCCGAGAGTCACTTGATCCTTTGCACCTCCCCCTGTACTTTAGATTCACCGAAATTGTCCTGCTGGCAGGACTCTCACACACTGAGCTGACGGAGAACAGATACGATTAGAGATAGTCTCTCATGCTGGTCCAGGAGGAACATGAACAAGCAAATAAAATGGCACAATATCTTAACAATTTATTTCTGACTTCTGCTTCTTTAATTCCTAAGATGTAGCCTGAAATTATGTTATCCTGGGAAATTCCTTGAATAAACACGATGGAGATTTTATTTGTTGGTTCGTTATGGTCCATTTTGCCTTCATGTGATTCTGGCACTGAAGTAAAACTCCCATTTTCCCGTGATCAACAGATGCCGACAAACGCATCAAAGTGGCCAACCCGGTGGTTGAGATGGACGGAGATGAGATGACCAGGATCATCTGGGAGTTCATCAAGGAGAAGGTGATGAATTGGCATCCAGCTTTGAAGGAGTAAACGCACAAATGAGGAGGCGGGATACTCGAGGCTGTGATTGACTGATTGGGGAATAGTTCTGTGGGGGATTATTTATGCATGATGTTGGGGAGGAGGAGAGAACAGATGGCTGTTGGCTCAGAAGTCGAATGTGAGAGAGTTAGCTGGCTTGTCATGTTCACCATACCAGTTGAGGTCGTTTTACTCAGGAAAAAATCCAAATAGTCTTCTATACAGTAATATAGTTGGAAGTTTCCAGATGTTCTCTGTGTTAATTGTTTTTGTTTTCCCTGCTCTGTAGCTCATCCTCACAAACGTTGACGTAGACCTGAAGTATTACGATCTGGGTCTTCCATACCGCGACCAGACGGATGACCAGGTCACCATCGACTCCGCCCTCGCTACCAAGAAATACAACGTTGCGGTTAAATGTGCCACCATCACACCTGACGAAGCCAGAGTGGAAGGTCTTTTCACAAATCTTTGACTCCCAATCTTCCTTGTTCATTTTTATTTTACAACCTTTCACGTTATGTGTTCAGTTGTGGGTGATAAACATTCGAACATTTTCTGCAAATTGACCAGCAAAAGTTTGAAAGGAATGGTTTCTGTTTAGTTGATTTACTGTACAATACCATCTTTTCGGAATATTTCTCTCACCCATGTTTTTTTTTTTTTTATGTGCAGAGTTTAGCCTGAAGAAGATGTGGAAAAGTCCCAATGGAACCATCAGGAACATCTTGGGGGGCACCGTGTTCCGTGAGCCGATCATCTGCCAGAACATTCCCAGGCTTGTTCCGGGTTGGACGCAGCCCATCACTATTGGCAGACATGCCTTTGGTGATCAAGTAAGCCTCACTTCTGCTGGGCAGCGCTACACATTTTCAGGGTTTTTGACGTTGTTAAAAGTATGAGATTCTTTATTTAAAGATGTAAAAGTGAGGATATGTAATTTGGAAGGAAAATAAGTTGGTAGTTTTAAGGCTTTGCTCCTTATCTAAAATATTAAGTAGTACATTTCTGCAAGATAAAACGATAATCAGAGCTGATTTAAGGTTTGGATTCTAGAGATGCACCAATGAGCCAGTTTTTTTTTTTCTTTTTACAAATAAAATAAGCAGTTAACAGACAACAAAGTCAGATTTTAATCTGCATTTAGTATGGGTCCAGATTTGACAAATCTCCTTGTGAAACATTTTAAAACAAAACTGATTTATTTTAGTATATATACAAAAAAAAAAAAAAACACTGCTGAATTTGAATCATTATGAATTCATAGACAGGAAAAATCTAGAAATTTTAAAATTGTCAAGCATCTGACATTTGGAAATGGAAAATGTACGTGAACACTAAAATTTACTACACAGTTCCATTGTATTTTTCTTTCTTCTTCTACAGTACAGAGCAACAGATTTTGTTGTGGACCAGCCTGGCAAATTTAAGATGGTCTTCTCACCTTCTGATGGAAGTGCAAACAAGGAATGGGAGGTCTATGACTTTCCAGCTGGCGGCTGTGGAATGGGCATGTACAACACAGACGAGGTGAGGAAAGACTATAGAGACGCACAACAAATGATTCATGATTCTTTGTATTTTTCATTGTCAAAGCAGTGCAGATTTTTGAGTGATCACTGGTGTTTAAAAAGCTTTCCCTGCCAATACAGATTGTTATTTTACAACTTGACACTATCGGGTGTTTACGGCCACAATACACCATCCATCAATGTTCTAATCTTATTTCATTGATGAACATTAAGGAATACCGATGAGACGATACAAACTTGTTTTAACTGGACATGAGGTAATACTCTGATATAATTGAAATGTTAAGAGCATTACTGTGCAAACTTCTAAATTAACTAAAAAAAAAAAAATCTATTTCTTTAGTTCTTTATTTTTCACATTCTAAAATCAAAAGAAAACTTGCAAAGCAGGTTAGGCTGCAGACATGCTTTCAGCCTCTTATCAGAGATGAACTGTGAAGTAGTATTTTGCTTGTACAAAATAACAAGGCTTGAGGTCAAACTAACAAAACAACTCAAACCACTGATAAAGTGTCCTGAATTTTAGGTTTCCTTGTGAGAAAAGCGAACTTAACTGCAGCAGTTTTGGCCGGTCAATCAAAATGATGAAAACTTTGAAAACAAGCAGATTTACTGAGCCTGAGCTCAAACAATTCTGTCTTAAACTTAGTTTCTTACCCTGAAGTGCTGTCGCATATCTTTTAATATGTTTATTGTACAACATGCAGCTAATTTTTTTATTTTTTTTTTTTATTTCACCTTAAAACAACTAGATCTTTGTTCTTCATAAATATAAACGGATACATTTTGAATACTGAAATACATTTAATATCCTTTCAATAGATGTGCAGACTTCTCTTGTGTACGCATTGTCTGAAGCACACAGTTACCAGCATGTGATGATCGTGTTTTTTCTCCCAGGATTTACACCATTTGAATTAGGTTTGTGTAGTTCAGAACGACTACGAATAAACTTAAAGAAACAGTGCGTAGTGATTTGTAAAATTTTCTGGACACCGTTGGCAGTCAAAGCGTTCAGCCCGCTTTGCTACTGGTTTGTTTGCCTTCATCAGCTCGGTCTGTTTGTCTTAACAACATAAGAGGTCATTCCACATGACTTTCATCTCAACAAGGGGAAGGTTGTAAACCTTTTACAGCTGATAAAGACCTTCAGCAGGCATGAACTGTTTATTTTTCTCTCTTCACCAGTCCATCACCGGGTTTGCACACAGCTGTTTCCAGTATGCCATTGGCAAGAAGTGGCCACTCTACATGAGCACAAAGAACACCATTCTGAAAGCTTACGACGGCAGGTTTAAAGATATTTTCCAGGACATCTTTGAGAAGTGAGTGTCTCAAGGCTTATTTTTAAAGCACTTTTGAAGTCGTTGGATGGAAAACGAATATTTCTTTTTGTGTCCCACAGACATTACAAACCAGAGTTTGACAAGCTGAAGATCTGGTACGAGCACAGGCTTATTGACGACATGGTTGCCCAAGTGCTGAAGTCTTCGGGAGCTTTCGTTTGGGCTTGCAAGAACTATGATGGAGATGTTCAGTCTGATATTCTTGCACAGGGTGAGAAATTTGAAAAGAAAACTTGCTTATTTTTTTGAAAATGCTTCCCCAGTGTGAGAGCTGCTCTAAAGAAGGGTCTTGCTTTGTCTTTCAGGCTTTGGCTCACTGGGACTAATGACTTCAGTCCTTGTCTGCCCTGATGGAAAGACCATTGAGGCCGAGGCAGCTCACGGCACAGTGACCAGACACTATCGCGAGCACCAGAAGGTTTGCAGCCATCAGTCTTTGTCAATCAGCTGCTCTGTATTGGGAAAACATTTCCACTGAGTTGTGTGGGGAATGGAGTAGCAGAACTGCCTTATCTGCTTTTACACTGTGGCTCTATACTGCCATCATGTGGTGAAAATAAAATGCAACATGTATTCCCTCCTAAATAAATGAGTGCGTCTCTGTAAATTGGAAAATTATCACCAAAAAAGTATTGAAACTTTTATAGATGGAGTAATACATTTCAAGTGTTTATTTCAGTTTATCTTGATAGATGTGGCTTATAGGTGCTAAATCCCCAGAATTCGGTTTCACAGAAAATTATATTACGCACAACCACACAAAACTTTTTAATACAGAAATATCAGGCTACAGCAAAATATGTCAATATAATGTATATTATACGCATTCCGTTCTTGCTCAGGCCTCGTTTTGTATGAACTACTACATCAACCTGTCAAGGCTGTAGATAACACTCTTGGTTCTGCACATTTTTGTCGCTACACCATTTCCTTTGACTCAGTTTTCCATGAATAGGGTTATACAGCAATCTGATGTTCAGCAGTGACCTTCTGTAGCATATCCTCGTCTTGGATGGGGTTCATGACTGTCAAGTCGACTATTTTTCCAATGGTCATGTAAGCCGTAACTTAGCCGCTTTTTTTTTTTTTATTGGTCTGATGTTAAGTTCTACTTCTCAGAGAAACATAATTTTGAGTGATAACCTTTAAAAATGAAAAGAAACAAACACTTTGATTGCATTTCTCTTTGCTTTATGTATTTATGTAGTATGAGTTTTTGATTTGAATAACTATGGAGTTAAATTCTGATCTTTTGAGACGTGAAGTGGCTGATTTCCACGTGATTATTTTCTTATCAGGGGAGGCC